TTTTGATGCGGTTTTTTTAATAGATAGAGTGATTCTTAAGGAAGGTTTATATGTATAATACATGCATATTGCATCCGTGCGATGACGGGGCGAGTCGCTAGTAATATATAAACAAAAATATAAAAATGTAATTTTTTTAGTTCATTATAAAATATTCATCGACTTACCCACTACATGAGATACCAGATGTAACTTTGTTGGCACTATTTGCATCACACGTGCCACCCTGTAGAACCTCTTCGAAAATTAAATGGCCTGATGTTTTAATAATATACTATGATTTCGTTCGCGATTACGAAGTTTGCTTTTGGCAATGGTTCACCAGTTATTCTTTATAAAAGTATCTATTGTATTACCGAGACAGAATCATTTTTCTTCGGGACGAAATAAATTATATGGTGTATGGACAACGTTATGTAGATGAAGAATTGAAGAGCTTTTATATCAATATACTTTGTTTGTATAATAACTATCGTGAGACATACTAAATTAACTAAAAATCGCGGGATACTCATGTGAATATACTGAGAAAAGCTCTACTAGTTTCGAACCATAGAGGGGTTCTTCCTTATGAGCAGCGTGCGCGGTCGCGGCGATGTCGAGCAGGTTCGAAACTAGTAGAGCTTTTTTCAGTATATTCACGTGATTAGCTCGCGATTTTAAGTTAATCAATATACTTATTCTGATGGTCGTATGTATATATCGTTGTACTTAAATATCGTGCCATCTCTGTCATTTTACAAAGACTTTGTAGAGACAGAACTATAGATACTTAAGCGCGACTTAAAATTAAGTGGCGTATGTTGTATAGCAACAATATAAGTATTTACATGCGTTCGACTAGGCATCTTGACTAGTTTCAAGTCATACCAGGAGCTTATAAGTCATGAGCGGCTTGCGCGACATATATTTTACATCGCTCTAAGATACAAGCGGCATCTTTGGATGAAACAGTTGATTAAACAACGAGGCCAAATCATTAATCAACCTTTATAGTAATGTATTACTGAAGTGTAGAATTATTTTCTCGGTGTGATCAACAAAGAATATCCACTTGGACAGTATGTCTTAGTCATTTGTCATTCAAGAAGTACCACTTGTGTCTCAAATATTTGCATTACTGTCAAGTGTAATATGTTCTTGGATTATCCTTTATCCTAGGTAGGGACTTTTTTTAGATATTACAGTTCTTATTTTTTCTGATAGACTTTATAGTCACTTTGAATTAGAAAGAAGACATATCAATAATGACAGTAACTTACAAGACTGAATGTTTAACTTTTTATTTTATTTTTCAAAATGACTGGCTCGTTGGCCCAATGGTCGCAAGTGCGACTCCGGCAAGAGGTCTCGGGTTCGATTCCCGCGTCGGGCAAAGTATTACAGGGTTTTTTAAAAAAATCTCAGTAGTAGCACGGAGTCTGGAATTGTGTCCGGTATATGGTAATAGGCTCACCCCCTATTACATGGGACTCATAACATAAATAGTGAAAAATGTGGGTGTTACATTATTGTACAGTGGCTTCAAGTGCCGTAATGTGCACCTCTGCCTACTCCTTCCGGGATAAAAAGGCGTGATGTTATGTTATGTTTTTAAAAACGTTGCTCCACACTAGGATTTTCTCCTGTGTCGTGGATGCGTTTACAAATATACAAATTTACATACACATGACACCCAGACCCGGAACAACAATCTGTGGATCACATAAAGAGTTGTTCCGTACGGGAATCGAACTCGTGAAACGTTGAGCGACAGCAGGTTTTTTAATAGATAGGTACAATGATTCTTAAGAAAGGTTTATATATACGTACTTAATATAGTAGCGAAATCTAATGTCATGTCGTAAATAAGCAAATATAATACAAATATAAATACAAATATTGTTTATTTCGTCTATGTAGGTATGTTACAATAGATGATAGATAATATTATGGTAGTGCGCCACATTGTGTCTGTACAGACATACAAAATTTTTATAGTATGTTCTTAATCTAGTGTGTTTACGACAATAATCTTCTGCACGTTTTTTTACACTTATATTGCAAATGCTGGCTGCACCCTACGAGATAGACCAAAATAATGAACTACAGTATTGTTCACCTTAATTGTCTAATGACAAGAAAGCTGTGAACGTGGTGTACAAGGACATTCTGTAGTAGGTATATTTACATAAGCATTGCAACTTGCACCCGTGCGAAGCCGGGGCGGGTCGTTACTTAGGTATAAATAAGCCAAGCACAAACTAAAACGTAAAGATTACACAACAATCTAAACTATCGGATGTTATTTAGTAACGGTTATTGAATCCTCTGATTATGAGGTGCGATCAAACATACAAATACATAGTTAGATAAATGTAAGCATGGCGGCAAATAAAGGCGCGGCGCACCATTCTACCATTGTAATGACCGATAACGATGGGAAGGCGGCAGGACACCGTCGTGTCCTCGGGGCTTTAATATAAATCTTGGCTCAATAGAACTTGATACTGTAAAGTTGTCGTGGTGACTCGAACGTTCAATACCCCGCTTCTCATACATAAAGGTACGAGTTCAAAACCTACCAACGGCAAGTACCTACCAATGTGACTTTTTCCGAGTTATATGTACTTTTTAAGATTGCAGACACCACTGACAAACGGTGAAGGAAAACGTCGTGAGGAAACCTGGGCTTATAATTTCTAATTATAAGTTTCAAATCGCCAACACGCATTGGGCAAGCGTGGTGATTAATGCTCAAATCTTCTCTGCTTTGCTTAGCAGTGGGCATAGGCTAGGTTGATGTTGTTTTGTTAATAGGTAGGTGTTTTTCTAGGTTCTGTTTTAAGTTCGTTTTGTACTACATATAGGTACTTAGGTCATGAATAGCTGAATACTCAGTACATCAATCGTAGCAAAGTGTTAATCTTTCAACTTTCAATTGAACTTGGTTCTTGCGAATACAAATTTGCTTTTCGAATAAATCATGATCATGTAGAAATTCGCGAAATACAAGAACAGTCACTTGAAACTAAACTATCAATAAATTCCTTTAACACTAAAAAAATCGCATAGTAAAAAATGTAAGTAGGTGCAACGTTGTTACGATAAATAACCAGGAGTCCAAGATTAAACTTTTAATTCTACAATACTACGAATAACGGCCCCCCAATACATATTGCGTAGAGCAGGTAGCTATCATACCAACATGAACATTGAACAAACATTAGCCCCCTCTTCCCCAAACTACCCAAAAAATTCAAGAAAACACAACTACGATAACTACAGTGCACTGTAAGAACTGTGACACAAAACACATCACTATCTACACGAAAAAAGCATTAATAAAAAACCCAATAACTTCTTATTGACGTTCCAAATTCAATATACACATAATGCGATCGTTGATATCGAGAATCGTGTATAAATATATCGATATTTACCGAATTCGATTAGTTCCATAGAAAAAATACGGCAAAAACGTGTCCGATAAAAAATATCGATATCGTTTTTTTTTTCTTGACCAAAAGATATTGTGATATTTTCCTTAGTGATATCATGTTTATTTGGTTAACAAACTGTAATGAAAGAAGTGATAGTGCTAGGTTCGTCGACCTCAGTTTTTTTTTTTGGTTTCGAAGATAGGACAGTTTCTGTCAATGCTGATAAAGTTCGATGTGAATGGGAAGCTACTTGAGTATGGAAAATTTTGTGATAGGATAAAATGATGGTTTTATGTTCGGTGTTACTTCATTGATATGGATTTTATAAAGTAATCTATACTCCAAATCAAATGCTTAAATTTTGAAATGTTTTCAATTTATACGATATCTTTACATAGATACTTAATAGAAATTAGAAAACAATTGCAAAGAAACCTGTCTATTTCAAATTAAAGTAACAATACATCATACTTACTTACATTATTGTAATCTTAATAGTAGTACAATACTTAATGGTAAGGTACTAAATAAGTACTACAGTTTATTAATAGGTACATTGTTTTCTATATATTTACATCAACATTCACAAACCTGTTAATTAACTTTGGACCATGAACAATTATAACCATTCAATAGCGTGTCATAACAACAATTGTTCAATTCATTTCAATACAAAAGCTCTCAATTAAAGCAATGAAAATAACAAAGTTGACAACAAATCCAGTAGGCAGGTGATTGTAAATAGCGCAGTATTTATAACAAATTAAATGAAAAAATAAATCTAAATCCGCTACACAATCAGACTCAACAAACATTCGCATTCAAACCTCAGCGCATTGACGAACTATCATCCGCCAGCGTGGTCCACTCGAATAATTACAATCGACTCGCTGACAATCGCGATTCTATCACAAAGCTCGCATAATCGGACGCTGTGTCGACTCATTCCCAACACTACATGACGTAAACACACACACCCGCATCTCAAATTCAGCTCTATTCCATAACAATACAATTCAATTTTGCTTACATTTGGAATGCACATAGTGCAGTGGTATACACAGATAGCCGATTGTGACTGGGACAATGCAATAATCCGCGCATTGTTGAATCGACATTGTTGTTTTAAGGGCGGCCAGGCGTTCGCGACAATTGCACGCTTTATTGCATAAATAATAATGTTATATCGCCCAGCGGCGTTTCATTGTGGCATTTTGACGCTAAACTTATAGTATTGTGGGGCGAATTGAGTTATGCTTTCGATTTCAGAGTATCGGATATCTTCCGCGTTGTTTTTGCTGATAATACTCAGAGTGTTGATGTTTTGTTGAGGGCTGACGTGAGAGCTAACAATCGTAGCTAGAACGATATGGCCGTGAAGTTTATTCAGAAATCGTACGCAAGTACCAAGGCAACTGAGTAGATAAAAGAATAACAAAAATATATTGTAACATTACTAAGATGTTGAAGGGACTTTAATCAAGTTATAATATTGATTTCTTATTGAATCGTATCATGACACTAAACATCTTTTAATAATTATTTTCATGTATTTATATTTTCTTTTATTTGTTTCAGGGCACTGCACATGAAAGAACACCCAGACTACAAATATCGGCCACGACGAAAGCCGAAACCGCTGGTTAAGAAGGAGCCAAAATTCGGTTTCGGCATCAACGGCTTGATGGCACCGGTACCGAGACTGGTGACACCTTCAGTGCCACATCCAGTTCATCCACAGCTGCATTCCATGCCACATCACTTATTACCTGACAAACCAGAACTGAGCCGAGCACTGTTCCCTCCACTGCCTTATCCATTCTATCCGTTTGCGAAAATACCTTCTGACGATGGAAAACTGGCCGCAGAGTTGGCGCATTTGCAGGTAATCTTCAATGAGGTATTGATTTGAAATTAATGTTTGTGAATTCTTAGCTTACAAAATATTTTCGAAACTTTTATGCGACTCCGGAATATTATTTTCATTTTTCCAACAGTTTCTCAGTAGCCAGTCAATTGTTGAGTAATTTCAGTAATAGATACCAATACTAATGACCTGTGTAGTCAATAAACCCGTCGTCGTCTTATATAAAATTTAAGGTAAAATATTCTAACCATTTGTTTTTCCTTTAGGCACTATACGGTGGAGCACTATACAGCAGTGCTCTCTACAGCAGCGCTCTCTCCCCTTGCGGCTGTCCACCACGACGAACGCCGTCCCCTCCCCCTGCCGACGTGAAACGCCCCGTCGCCTACGTACTCATGAAGAGTGACGAGGAACCGCCTCAGCACGTCATCTGAAGGCCGGTCGCGCTCCCTGCGAGGGCCTGGCCCTCACATTGGGAGCGACCTTCCACCTCCGTACAGGAGCGCGAGACCAGCTCACCAGATAGTGTGTAAGACTGAATGGAAGGACATTTACTTAAACTTGTGTTATAGAGAGGAGACATTCGACAGATTCACCGGTTTCGGCCAAATAGTTTCGGTTTCCATTCGACAAGTGGACAGTGTTTGTTGTCTTGGCATTAGATGAAATGGTGCTGTTCGTGACGAGTATTTTATCAAAAATGGACTTTAAACGTGCAATCAATGTTACTGTTAATGTGCAATGTACCTTTTAGTTACTTTCTTGTAAGGAGCACTTTGAATAGACAACATATCATAGAATTTACTCTTCAACTGTGTAATAAATAGACGTTAGTTAGGCAAATTAATGTCAATTTTGTAAAAAAGACTATTGCATAACGTGTATACAGTGTAATCAATTATTAAACTCTTCAATACTATTGTTTTTTGTTGAATTAGTTTCTATTTTAATAGCCTTCGTGGTATCCACACAAATGTAGCTCAACTCTAATGCATTTAATGTATTTAATCACTAATAACTTGTAGTGCAATAATGTAAAATGTAATCGAAAAAACTTACATCATAAGATAAGAGGGAATGGACACGAAAAAAGGTAATTGACACTATTTTCTCAATATGTTTATCGATTTTGATATCATCGAAATGTAATATTGATACCAGAGGTAATAATGTTAATTATACTTTGAAAACTTGTAAATAGCACTTGTAAATAATTAATATGTATGTATGTACTATTCGTAAGAAGTTAATTGTTTTGGTTTTAGAGCTGCGGCGTAGGTACCCATTTCTTCAGTTCATTTTAATGAATTGCAATGAGACTTATGATTTGTAATCAATTAATAATATGTTAAATTTATTTGTTGTATTTTTATGATCCCTAATTTTTCTACGCATTACGATTAATTAATAAGAATCATTCCTACCCTATGGGTACGTTATTTTACAGGATTTGTTTTTTTTAACTTACTTCATTAGTTATATCATTTCTATTTAAGTTATATTTATTCTTAAGCATTTTTATCTTATGGCATTTAATAATTTGAGAGCGGTATATGACAAACAAATGTAAGTTATAGATGGCGCCCTAATTAAAATTAACTCGAACGTTATTTTGCAGAAGGTTATATTTATGATCAATTCAATTGATTTACTTACTTATACTGATTTAAAACTACTAACACGGATTGTTTTAGATATTTCACAAATATTAGCTTTATACAAAATATATTTAATTTAAGTGTTAAATAATTACTTGCTCAATTCACCAACACTTTCGGCCTTCTGTCAAAGCCGAAACCGATTTCGCTTGAATGGCTCTCTTCACTATAATTTTCTACAAATTAATGTTCGAAAATCGGCGAAATATTATGTTTACAAATATGTTTTCTATTAATATTTTTATTATTTTTATATAATGCTCCCACCGAAGTAGTTGGTATTAGTTAAAAATTAAATAAAAATGAATGTTTGTTTGTACGTATTGTTAGTAGGCCGACCCCGTTTGTCCTTTTTTAGAATAAAAGACAATGTTCTACGGAACCACTTTAATATGTTTACCACAACCACATATAGTTTTAGTATAAACTTGAAGAAATGTCTCTATAATGTCTCTCTTAATACTCAGATTACTCAGAGCACAATAGATAGTGTGACGGCGTCCAGAATCTAACTGATTTTTATTTCATTATATTAATTCCATGCATTAGACGGAAATGCAGTATCAGCAAAATGCGATGGAAATGTACTTTATATTTGTAAAGGCTGACTTAGGCTTTACCGCTTTGTAATAAGGTTTATAACAGTAC